TTCCTGGCTGAGACAGGGCTGAGACTGGACACCTGAGCTGGAGCCAAGACAGAGGCAAGCCCAGGAATCCCCTATGGGAGGAGGAGCAGCTGGGCAGAGCCAATCTATCAAAGATGGGGAAAGTGAGGCCCAGAGAGAGGTAGCTACTCCCCCAAGTTGCACAGTGCATCAGGGCAGAGGAGGATGAGTTTGACTCAGGCTCAGTTCTTACCCGCACAAGCACACCCCTCACCCTGTGGCCTGGTCACTCCTGGCCAAGCCCAACCCTCCACCTTGCAGGAGGCAGGAGCTCCCGATGTCGCACTGTGTGGCGGCAGTGGAGTCACTTCACTTCTCTGGTCAGTGGATGCTGGGGAGAAACGCTGTCTCCACCCTAGTCCTAAGAACTGAGGGCCTGGAGGGTCTTGGAAACGGCCGGGGGAGAGGCTGCTGGTTGTGCCTTAGATGAGGATGCAGGCAGCTGATGCCTTTGCTGAGGTGGGGAAACCGGAACAGTGGAACAGGTCTCCAGGCCCTAGAGTGCAGCCCAGAGAAGGCAGGCAGGTGGCCTCAGGTCACACAGCAAAAGCTGCCCATTTGCTGCCTGCCCTGGCCCAGCTCCAGGCCAGTCCTCTCCTCCTGGATCTCTGGGCTCTTAGAAAAGTAAGGGGTGGCTGCAGAGTGCCATGGTGGACACCCCAGTCAGGGAGTAATGGCTACCCTGCTGCGTGGGAGGGTGGGAGCTCTCTAGCCTGAAGGGGCAAGGCCCTGAAGCTTGCTATTAGGAGGCTCCTCTTCCTCCTCTCCATGCTGCCCTCCCATAGCTGGGCACATGGGCAAGGATCTGTAAACAGCACAGGCCCATGGTCCTGAAATCTACCCACTGCCATGCAGGGCAGAAGTGCTCCCACACATTCCCCCAGGACAGACCTGCTTCCCTCCTTCCACACCCCACGGGCGTTCCCTGGAGACGTATGGCCCACTGTTGCTCACTGACCAGGCACACCACCCTCTCCTTCAAAACATGTAGCCCAATGTGGTTACATACTAAGTGATGTCAACTCTGTGAGGGCAGGGCCCAGCTGCTTGGCCTCTGTAGCCCTGGCCCAGTGCCAGCCACATAAATGCTGACCACACACTGGGCACTGTGAGGAGGACTTCACGCTAATAACGTAGGGAAGCCCCTCAGTGCCCTGTGTGGAAGGTAGCATCTCATTTTAGAAATGGGAAAACTGAGGTACTACAGGATTAGGTAATTTGCCCAAGGGGCCCCAGCCGGGAAAGTGGGGACAACAGGGACACTGAGGTGGTCTGGGCAGAGCATTTGTGTCCTCACATCCTTGCTACACCACCTCTGTCATCTTGAATCATGCCAGGGGCCACTTATAGATCCTCCTGCCATGCAGGGTTGTGAGCGTGGTGGGGCACTAGAAAGGCATGACTCTGGCCATCAGGTGGCCTGGACTCACTCTGACTCGCCCTGGTGGCCTGGATAACTCGAAGCAAGTCCTCACTTCTCACACCTTCTCCTGTTTCCTCATCTGCTAAATGGGATCATAACATCTACTTCCCAGGGTTGCTGTGAAGCATCTACCATATAACATAGATGGGAGGGTCCCACAGGGTGCACGGGACATGAGTCAATCAATACACAACTTCCCTCCCCCATGTGCCTGATTCTAAGCACAGCAGCCCAAATCTGCAATGACAAGGGTGGCAGAGAGGTAGTTTTGGTGGCTTGAACTGGAGCAGCCCTGTGTGGATAACATGTTGTTTAGGGCCTCTTCTAACCTTTTGGGGTGAAAGTGGAAATGTCCCCTGGGGTGACCCCCTCCCTCCTGGGTCCCGGGACACCTGCCAGTCAGGGCAGAGACTCCTGTGCGCCAGGGACCCTGCCCTGATGTCATGCAGTTCATCAAGAACAGTTGCTGCAGGCGCATCAGCCAACATTTACTCCCCAACACTCAACTCTCCACCCTCCCCTTCCTCCCATCTCTGCCCTGTCCCTGGCCTCAGCTCTATGGCCTCATCACAGTCACCCTGGGCAGGAAGAGCTGGGCAATGTGAGTGACAGCAGAATCGCCACCAAGGCACTGGCTTACATCCAGGCGCCACGCTGACCTGTTGAATGACCTTGAGCTCAGCCCCACCCGTCTCTGGCCTTGAGTCTCCAGCTGGGCTGGATAATCCCTAGTGTCAGCCGGGTGGCTGGACGACTCACGTGCCCTTTCACAGTGGCCTTCATGAGTCAACAGCCCAGGAAGTGATGTCAGGTTAGGGAGGTGTAGAGGGGGCAGGGAGGCCTGGAGGGTAAGAGAAGATATTTTGAGGGCAGGCAGGTTCCCCCCACGTCACTGCTGGACAATGGTCTGGGGCCAGGAATGGAAAATGCTAGTCTGACTTGGGCTGAAAATAGCATGAGGCATCAGGGCAGGAACCTCACCCCCAAGGTGAGTGGCCTGGGCACTGAGCAGTAAGGCTGGCCGTGCATACCAAGGGGCCAGGCAGTCCAATGGGGTTCCAGAGGTGGGGCCTTGTGCCTGTCCCTGGTTTGCCCAGGGTCTCCAGTATTCACCCCGACCTGCACCTGCCACAGGATTAGATGGCAAATAAGCCTCTCCTGTGTCCTTATGGTCCTATGTCCCAGGTCCTATGTCCTTAGAAATCTGCAGGCAGTGGTTAAAGGAGAGCTTCCTGGCTCTAGGCAATGGTGTTGTCTCCATCCACCATGGGGTCTGGTTTGGGCAGATGCAGGAGGGTAGGTGGGCAGGACATGAGAAGAATGGGGACCAGGGAACTTGGGCTTGGGGAAGTCCTAGCCTACCCCAACCACACATGCACACTCAAGGGCCCCCAAAATCATGAGATACAATCCTGCCTCCAGATCTAAGCAGGGCTGAGAGGGTCAGAGCTCAGCATTCACACTCTCAGCCAGCAAAGCATCTCACCTGGGGAGGGGATCCCTATAAACTGGGATGGGGTTCAGCTTGAACAGCAGTTGGTAGAAAAGGGAGTGGCTTGGGCCTGCAGGAAAGGCTCAAGGATGGTTTGTAAGAGGCAGTCACTAAGAAAGCTCAGAAGGGCTGGGTGCGGCAGCTCACACCTGTAATCCTAGCACTTTGGGAGGCTGAGGCAGGTGGATCACTTGAGGTCAGTGGTTTGAGACCATCTTGGCCAACATGGTGAAAACCCATCTATATTACAAATACAAAAATTAGCTGGGCATGGTGGCACATGCCTGTAATCCCAGCTACTTGGGAGGCTGAGCCAGCGCTAGGAGAATCGCTTGAACCTGGGAGGCAGAGGGTTGCAGTGAGCCAAGATGGTGCCACTGCACTTCCAACCTGGAGCCTGAACAACAGAACAAGACTTCGTTTCAAAAAAAAAAAAAAAAAAAAAACCGCTCAGAAGGACGTCGGTTACATTAACAGAAGTATAGAACCTAGAATGTGAGAGGTGACTATCTCACACTATTCTGTGTAGGTCACCCACATGGCACAGTACAGAGTAATCATTTGGGTCATGGTCTGTGATGGGTCTCTGTCACATGAGGGCACTGTGGAGTCAGGCTCCAAACACAGCAACGTCTGGGGATGCCTGCCTTTCACAAAGGGGAGTGGGAAGGATGGAAAGGTCAGAGGCAGGCAGAGTGGGCCCACAGGGCGAGGGCTCTCCCAGAGGGAGAGGAGTGGGTCCCTGTCCTTGAGATCAAGAGTGAGGCCTGTCAGCTTTGCCCTATCCCTGTTCAAAGGTTAGGGCTGGGCCCTGTCCAGGCGAGCTTCACACATCAGCCCAGAGCGGTCCTGGCTAGACCCAGAACCTATCATAGATGAGACCCGTCTCCCCAACACTAAGTCCTGATACAGCCTGAGCACCATCCTGCCACGTATGTGGATTTTCCCAGAAGGCAGAGGATGGACCGGAGGTGAACTGAGTCTCTTTCATACTTACTCCCAATGCAAAGGAAGCCTTAGGGTCAGGGCAAGGAGGGAGCCCTGACTTGGCCTCCTTGTGACCTAGCTCCAACCGTACCTTCAGCCTGGAGCCAGCTGTCCAGACTGCTTATGGCTCCTGCACACCCTGCCCTCTTGCCCCATGTCTTGCCTGGGATGCATCCTGTATGTGGGTGTTCTGGTAAGCTGCTTTTCTCAGAAGCTACAACTCAGGAGTCTCCCCACTCCAGGAGCCCTTCCCTGATCCCGGGCTCACAGCCCCAGCCACTCAGCATTATCCAATGATGTGCTAGAGTGACTTGTACCTGCTTGCAAGAACCAATTGTTAAATTATCAGAAATTTTACAAGGAAGTTGATATCATGTTTACAGTTTGAATTTGGCCATGATAAGAGTTTTCACACCATGGAAATGGGCAGTTCTACAAAGAAGGGGTTCCCAGTTAAATCGGAGCTACAGTTAAATGATTTCACATTTATCAGCACATGACTGGCCATCACCTAAACTGGGAGATCTCAAGGTCTCGGACTGCACCTGACTCTTCTCTGCACTTGGCACAGAGTCAGACACAGAAGTCAACTGGCTTTAAAGTGGGGGATGACTGGGGCTGGGCATGGTGGCTCACGCCTGTAATCCCAGTACTTTGGGAGGCCAAGGCACGTGGATCACGAGGTCAGGAGATTGAGACCAACCTGGCTAACATGGTGAAACCCCATTTCTACTAAAAATACAAAAAAATTAGCCAGGCATGGTGGCACACACCTGTAGTCCCAGCTACTTGGGAGGCTAAGGCAGGAGAATCGCTTGAACTGGGGAGGTGGAGGTTGCAGTGAGCTGAGATAGCACCACTGCACTCCAGCCTGGGCAACAGAGCAGGACTCCACCTCAAAAAAAAATGTGGGGGATGACCTGGGGTCTGGAGAGAGGATCCCTGATAAGAGACTACTCCTGAGACAGCTAGTGAGAAAGCAGGTGGCAGGAGGGATTGGGTTGGAGAAAGGACCCTTTTGTGGCTGGTGAAAGCTTCCCCACCATATCCTCATCCCCCAACCACACAATAGGGCACAGCTCAGCAGGCAACACAACCTTTAGTATAAGTTACAGCCTCACACTGGCTCCCAGCCCATGGGAGCCTCCAGATGGGTCTATGACATTAGTCCCCAGATGTTCATCTCTTGGGCTGGGGGTACTCCTCAGAGCTGAGTCCACCGTGACACCCAGTTCATTCCAGACCACTGTGCGAGCTCAGCCCTCACTATTTACCAGGGCTTTCTGGCCAACCTGTGACTTGGCCCCCACCCCAGGTAGCTCAGCTCCAGACTGGTATGTGACCTTGGTAAGCCACCTTCCTCTCGGGGCCTGTTTCTCCATTGGACTTGATTAGACTGAACTCCTACCTAGGTACCTTGGCAGTACAGCCAGCTATTTGTGTGGGAGTCAGGCCAGGAGTGTCACTGACTTTCAACTCTCACCTTTCTTGAAACTTAATTACCCCAACTCATACACACAAATAATGACTAGGGCTTATGGGAAGAGCTGACTCTGGAGAATATCCTGATCCCCTGCCAAATGACAGCGCATGGGGTCATGGCTTCCTTGGTCATCCAGCATGAGTCACTGATGGTCCATATCTGGGGAGACCGTGCCCTCTGCACAATTCCTGGTCCCCTACATCTTCTCAATATAAACCTGCGCAGGCCGGAAGTGTTCCGGTCCTACAGCCGAATGTCCTTAGTGTTCTCGCTACCAGCCGGCGTGGACTCTGTCCGCCTTGAGTCCTCACTGCTGCCCAACACATCTTCTATCCTCTGCATGTCAGTTCTGTCGGATCTGCGCAGGCCCAGCCTGCGGCGAGCCGGGGTGGCGGGGCTGGGGCCAGTGGGTGGTTTGGTATCTCGGGCAAAACGGACGAGCCTCTGCCCAGCCAGGAAGTAGAGCACGGGGTCAAGGCAACTGTTGGCACTGGCTAGTGGCCGGGTGACCTTGTAGGCCATGTTGATGGCATTGAGTGTGTGGCAGCTGAGGTCCAGCGAGCGGAAGGAGTAGTAGAGGGTGCGGGTGACGTGGAAGGGCAGGAAGCAGAGGGCGAAGACAGCCAGTACCACGGCAATGGTGCGCACGGACTTGCGCTTGGCCCGAGGCAGGCCGCCCGTGGTCCCGTAGGCTGGCTTTAGCAGCCGCCGAGCCATGAGCACGTAACAGACAAGGATGACGGCAAAGGGCACTGCGAAGAGCAGGCCCAGCATGACTGAGCTGTAGGCCACGAAGCGGCTGAAGAGCTCGGGCGCCGAGGTGTCGTGGCAGGTCACACGGCCTCCGCGAGCGCTGGTGGTGACAAAGTAGAGCACGGGGGCCTGGCAAGCCAGCACCAACACCCACACACCCGCAGCCACCCGGCGAGCATAGTGGGCCCGGCCCCAGCGAAGGGAGCGCAGAGGGCGTAAGACTCCCAGGCACCGGTGCACGCTGATGCAGGTGAGGAAGAGGATGCTGCAGTAAAGGTTGGTGTAGAAGAGGAAGCGCACCAGCTTGCAGAGCACGGAGCTGAAGGGCCAGTGGTCGCCGCGGGCGTAGTAATAGACCAGCAGCGGCAGGGAGGCCGCATACAGTGCATCAGACACAGCCAGGTGGAACATATAGGTAGTGGAGGCATTCCAGGTCTTGAGGCGGCACAAGAAGATGTAGAGTGCCACGGCGTTCAGACACAGCCCAAGCACGCACACCACGCCGTAGGACACAGGCAGCAGCACGTACTTGAAGTCCTCGTTGAAGCGGCACCGGTAGCCCAGCTCATCCCCATCCCAGGTGCCATTGATGGTGCCATTCCAGGGGTCCAGGTCTGCTGCCATCGCCCTGAGGGGAAGGGAGGAGTGGGGACATCAGGGTTCTGGCCGGAGCGCCCCTAGGGGACCCAACACAGCCATCTGTCCAGGACTTTTGTTGCCATTTGACTTGGATCTGGGCCCAGAACCTCCAAGCTCTGAAACTTCGAGAATGCATGAGATCCATGAATATTAGGATCACACAATTGTCAAACTTGAGAACAGAGGCAGACAAACTATAGTCCAAAGGCCAGTTCCAGTCTGCTTTTGTAAATGCAGCTTTATTGGAACACAAGCATACCCATCTGTTTATAAAGAGTTGAGTAGTTGTGATAAAGACCATATGGCATGTGAAGTCTAAAATACTCACTATCTGACCTTCAAAAAAAGTTAGCTCAACCTGTGTGTGGTGGCTCATGCCTATAATCCCAGCTACTCGAGAGGCCAAGGCAGGAGCCAGGTGTTCAAGCCCAGTTCAGGCAACAACGTGAGACCCCATCTCTACAGATTTTTTTTAAAAAATTAGCCAGGCATGCTGGCATGCACCGGTAGTCCCAGCTACCTGCAGGCTAAGGCAGGAGGATCATTTGAGCCCAGGAGGTTGAGGCTGCAGTGAGCTGTGATCACACCACTGCACTCCAGCCTGGGTGATATAGCAAGACCCCATTTCTGGGGGAAAAAAAGTTTTCTTACCCCTCTCTAGAACCTCAGGATCAGAGTTCTAGATCTAGGATTCTGAGCTCTAGAATCTGAGGATCTGAGAGTGCCAGAGCATGTAATTTTGAGTTCATGGAAAGAGGCCTTTGAGGCTGGCTGGCCCTGCGTCACACCAAATGCCCACTTGCCCGCAGGGACATTCCTGGCCAGAAGGCATCGCACAGCCTCCTGTGGGGCATTACAAAGTTCTATGCAGCTCATCTTCCTACTCTTGGGAGGCTCTGGGCCCACGCTTAGGGTTCCGGTATTGGAGGAAGTATTTCCAAGGGTCTCCCTCTTCAGTTATCCATTCACTTTTTACAGCTTCCTCTATTCTGGCACTTTTTATATCTATCAACAGCAGTCCTCCCCCGAGCCTGTGAGGCCACCAGGGAATGCCCCTGAAGTAACCCCCCTGAAGAATACAGGGAAATCTGGGGTGGAGATGGGGATAGGGGACCAAGGGATCATTTGTGTGGCAAATGCAGCTTCTTCCATGCCCACCCGGTTTCTCTCTGCACATTACTATTGTGATGTCCCCTGCACCTTGTCTCCACTGAGCCTATAACACACCCATGGGGACTGACTGTCCAACAGACAGCTTGTTCCCCTCCCTCTCCTCCTCACACCTACCCAGGTGACCAGTTAAGAGCTCTCTCACAGCTGGGAGGCAAGGGAAAGACAGCCCAGCCTGCAAGGCAAAACGTCCCAAGGGGCAGGCTAGAAATCATAGCAGGAGTCCTGGATGGGCAAGTTTCAGAAAAACCCAAAGAAGCACTTTCTAGCAGTGTGAAGAGGCAGGGGGAGCTAACGTTTTTCCAACCCTACTACTATGTGTGCTTTCTAAAAGTTATTCACTTAGGCCAGCCGCGGTGGCTCACACCTGTAATCCCAGCACTTTGGGAGGCCGAGGTGGGTGGATCACTTGAGGCCAGAAGTTCAAGACCAGCCTGGCCAACATGGAGAAACCTCATCTCTACTAAAAATACACACACACAAATTAGCCGGGTGTGGTGGCAGGTGCCTGTAGTCCCAGGTACTAGGGAGATTGAGGTGGGAGGATCACCTTGGGCCCAGGAGGTAGAGGTTGAAGCGAGCCAAAATTGCACCACTGTACTCCAGCCTGAGCAACACAGCAAGACTCTGTCTCAGGAAAAAAAAGAAAGTTACTTTACTTTATCCTTACAATGTGTTCTATGAGCCAGGTCACCATCCCCAGCTCTCCAATCAAGAGGCTAAGACACAGGTCACGTAAATTATTTGGTCAAGTTTATGCCACTGGGGATGGGCTGCAATTCCTGTCCAGGTCCAGCCCCTGGAAGTGGCTCTAGGAGGGAGGTAGTGAACTCGCTGTTTGTGGGATTATGCAAGTGGCTCTCTAGCAGAGGCTACAGAAGGGCTTTTGCCTGTGTGGAGGTGTGTCTGGGAGGATGGAAAGGGCAAATGAAGTGTGAGTCCTCCTCATCCTGAGAATCTGGGGCCATATAATTCCCTTCATTTTATTTATTTATTTTTAGACAGAGTCACTCTGTCACCGAGGCTGGAGTGCAGTGGTGTGATCTCAGCTTGCCGCAACCTCCACCTCCCAGGTTCAAGTGATTCCAGGCACATGCTACCATGCCCAGCTAATTTTTGTATTTTTAGTAGAGATGGGATTTCACCATGTTGGCCAGGTTGATCTTGAACTTCTGACCTCAAGTGATCTGCCCACCTCGTTCTCCCAAAGTAGCGGGATTACAGGATTATGGCCTAATTCCCCTAATTTTAGATCCTGGAGTCCTGAGGGACTCGGGGACTCTGCAGGGCCCGTGACATCCACTCTCGTAGACCCAGGCTTCCCTTCCAGGCTTGGCTTCCCAGCGGCAGTTCAAAGCCCATGAGGTTGAGATTAGGGGTGCTAGGGGGCAAGTGTAGAGGTCCTTTGATTTCCTTCCTTATTTTTTTCTTTTTGAGGCAGATTCTCACTCCATCACCCAGGTTGGAGTGCAGTGGCGTGATCTCAGGCACTGCAACCTCTGTCTCCTGAGTTCAAGCAATTCTCGAGTCTCAGCCTCCCAAGTAGCTGGGATTATAGGTGTGTGCCACCACACCTAGCTAATTTTTTTGTATTTTATAGTAAAGATGGGGTTTTGCCATGTTGCCCAGGCTGGTCTTGAACTCCTGGACTCAAGTGATCTGACCACTTCAGCCTCCCAAAGTGTTGGGATTATAGGCGTGAGCCACGGTGCCCCGCCAGTTTCCCTTCTTTCACCAAGACTCCCAGATCTTCTCTGTCTCCTATTGTCAGCAAATGTGCACTCACAAGGAAGGGGGCCTGCACCCTTGTTCCCCCTGCCATGGAAACGGATGGCTCCCCAGGGGGAGGAGGCTGGGAGAAGCTTATGTGGTGCCAAGTTAAGAAGGGACAGGTGGAGCTGGGGCTCTAGCAGGGTCAAGTGGCTGAGACTCGTCTTACCCAGAGTCAGGGCAGTTCCTGCTGCCAGCCTAGTGCCAGGCTCTACCTCTTGTTGCTGGAACCACTGCATTGGCCTCCCTCCTCCAGCCCCCGCCCCCCCCCCCCCCCAAAAACCAGAGTGGCCTTTGTCAAAGAAAGTATTCTCCTACTTGGAACCCTCCTGGGGCTCCTGCCCTCTCTCAGGAGAAAGCCTAGCACTCAAGTCTGGTACCTGAGGTTTTCATAACTGAGCCTCTGCCAACCTCACCCGCCCCAACCCCTGTGACCTGCAGTTTCCTGAATGTGCCCAACACTCTTCCCTCCCAGCCCTAGTTCCCGCTGCTCCTTCTACCTGAGTTCATTCATGGCCCTCATCTCCACCTGTTGAACTCACGGCTCTTTATCCTTCAGTGCAGAGAACTCAGTGACTAAGAACCTAAGCACTGGAGCCAGACTGCCTCTGTTTCCTCAGCTGTAAAATGGGACAATTACTAGAATCTCCACTATAGGACTGCTGTGAGGGTCCAGTGTTCTGTGTAAAATATCTGGAGTAGAGGCTGCACACAGTAGGCACATGGTGGTGGTATAAGTGCCAAGGTTCAGCTAGCAGTGGCCTTTTTCAGAAACCTTAGGCCACAGTGGAGGTGGGACTGGAGGTCCCGACTGGGGGCTGTAGAGGTGAGTGTGGTGGGCCAGGGGAGTGACACCGAGACCGAAGCTGGGGCAGGCCCCAGACCCTGTGAGAGAAGAGGCCTCGGAGATGTCTGGGAGGCAGGCTCTGGAGGCTGTTCCAGAGTGGTGGGAGAGGAGGAATTTGGTGTCAGTCATGGCAAGTGTGAGGATGGGCACAGGCTGGGTCCATCAGGTCCGGAGCTTTGGAAGGGCAGCTGAGAGTCGCTTGCTCACAGAAGCTGCAGGAGTAGCGAGGAGAGGCCCCCGTGTGAGACTGAGGAGCTATGGAGGGACCACATTCCCTCCTGGGACAGAGTCCCTGCCTGGGGATCAGTAAGCTGAGGTTTGAGTCTAGCTTGGCCACAAAACACCGGGTGACGTCAGGCATTTCCTTCCCTCAGAAGTCTCAGACCCTAATCAAATCCCCCAGCCTTGAGAACTGCAGCCCCTAAATGTCCCCGGGAGATTTTCTACCCCTCTTGGACAGGGAGGGGCCTTCCTCCATAATTGAGACACAAACGCCCAGTCTCCCCTCCACGCCACTGCTCTGCGGCTGCCCCAGTGCTGAGGCCTGACTTCCCTCCATAGTCACCATCTCATCACCCCGCATGAAGAGTTTCCTGCTAATCCCTAACGGTGGAATCTCTGACACTCAGAAGAGGGGTGGAGACTTCCCTGTCTCCCTTGAACTGAGGGAGCTGCCCCTTCCACCTGTTTTAAGACATCCTGGCCCCCACCCTCCCAGGCCAGCTGGGGACTCCATCACCATGGCCCCAGGCCAGACTCACCCGGCCAGCCCTCTTGCTCTGCAGGCTGGCTCACCAACGTGTGAGTACATCTTTCCTAGCCCCAGCCCCTGCCTTAGAGGGACAGCCAAGTCCCCAGCCCTCTCCCTTAAGTCTCCCCTCTGCTTCTCCTTACCCTGGTGCCCCTGGGTCTAGAGACGGCTCCACCTGACTGTCCAATGCTCACCGACCCCTCTGCGTCCCAGTGGCTGGTCCTGTCCCAAGGACCTCCTAGTCTGGAGGGGAGACCAGAGCCTTGTAAGGGCCCTTCCAGGCGCCTCTGCCTGTGTTCATGCTGTTCTTTCTCACTGGAAAGCCTTCCCAGGACCCACCCACACTGCACTCCATCATCCCAAAGGATCTTCTCATCTCTGAAGCTCTCTCTCCATCATCTCTGGGAACGTTTCTTAGCCGGTTGGTAATTTGTCCTTCCATCCTCTATCCCAACACATTTCAGGTGCTCCTTGAGGGCTGGGTCCATCTGATGCTTTTCTCTGTCCCTATCATCCAGCAGGAGGCCCGACCACAGGAGGTATTACAGGAATGAGAGAATGAATGGATGAATGAATGAATGAAGCAAGCACAAGAGGCTATGGGGACCCAGAGGAGGCGCACACAGACACAAGCCCTTCTGCAGCCTCTGCACACTCCTGTAAACAGGGACTTCACTACCTCCCTCCTGCAGCCCCTTCCACTGTGGGATAGACCTGAATGGGAATTGCAGCCCATCACCACTGGTATAACCTTGACCAAATTACTTGCTCCTCTGAGGGCCTCTCAAGGACAAGAATGCTTAAAGATTTCTTAGCTGCTGACCCTGCATATCCAGGGGACAACCCAGCCCCTCTAGAGGTCCTGGCCCACCTGGGACCTGCTTATGTCTCCTTCAACTGCCACAGGAGCCCAGGAGACTCTGCCCTTCCCTGGACAGGTCAGGGAAGTGCCAGTGGGATTGGACATGAGTATTCTGGAGATAGGTCGGCTGTCTGAGGCCTGCCACAGGTTTCTACCTACCTCAGGACCTGGGTCAGTCTGATCAGGATTCTCCACCCACCTTGCTTTATAGGGGCCAGACTTGGGCTGAGCAGCTTTCACACAGCATCTTCATCCCCCACCCCACTCCTTGGTAGATACTCCCATAAAGGTTAAGCTATTTGTTCAAGATCACACTGCCAGGCATTGGAAAAATTAGGCTTGACACCCAGGGCTGTCTGGCTTCAAAGCCTAAATTTATCACAGCCTGGGATGAGGGAGCAGGGCACGGCACCTGCCTTCGGATCCCTTGATCTAAGCCAGTTCCGGGCAGACATAGGCACAACGGCACACGCACCTGCCCTCACCTCCCGGCCGGGGCACCCACCCACACACATCCGTACCTGACCAGCCCTTGCTCTCCAGGTCAGGATGCTCAGCACCTGCTCGGATTCCTCACTCATGAATGCACACGCCTGGACCGGGCTGCAGGGAACTCTGCAGGAAACAGGAAAAACAGGTCCCCAGGCCTGGGGCCACGCCCAGCCTCCAACATTTTTCTGGGCAGGCCGTGCTGCTGCCCCAAGAGGCTCCTGCAGACACAGGGAGGTGGAGAAAGCTCAGGCTCAGGGTCATGAAAACCCAGCCAGGACAATCCCCCATAGGGCTGCCTCCTCTGTGGTAACTTTGACCAGAAGGAGGCAGAGAGGTGGCCTGGTGTTTGTCCTGGTCTGAGTGCCTTCTCAGCTCAAACACCCAAACCCCAGCTCATGTGTTCCAGGGATTGGTTATTCACAGCCTCCTTCCCTGGGCTCCCCTTTCACAGAGGGGTGGTCCTGCCTGGGGAAGGTCTCCCCAGTGTCCTGCACAGCTGAGCCAAGCCTCCAAGCCTCCAGGGTCTCTTTCCGAGGTCCTGGTTCTGTGCTTTGGCCCCAAAGCAGGAAAAGTCAACACCCTCTTTGTCCAGTGTGCATTCTAGTGTATTTCTGCCAACACACTTTTGCTCAAGCAAGGTCTCTAGAGACCCCCTGCTCCCCATTCCTACCTCTAAGCGTTCCTCCATAGGTGTTATAAACACACATATGCCACACCTGATCACACACTGGCACAGACACACCAAGATATGCAGAGGCATGCAGAGTCGCACTCAGGTGTACGTGCAGTGGACACACACGGATGTACACATGCGTGCACACACACACACACACACACACACACACACACACACACACACAGACGCAGTCTAGACCGTCAGGGCCTGAAACAGCATTCGGAAATCTCCTGTGCCAAATCCTGTTTCATAGAGGAGGAAACTGAGGCGCAAGCCTCACAGTAAGTCAGGGACAGAGCCAAGTCTAGAGCCCAGCCCTCCCAAATTCTGGCCCTGGTTTTTGTCTCACCTGGGAGCCCCTGCACACATCAAGCACAGGGTTTCAAGGAGGGGACGGTTGCCTGGTGGAGGTGACCCTCTGTGTGGGCAGGTCCACCATCCGCCAGCACCTCAGAATCTCACAGGAGGAATAGAACATAACCCTCCTGAGCTTTTCTTTTTGCATCTTCGTTTCCCTAGGATGGAGGAGTGGGCCTGTGACAGCTAAGGCCAGGTCCCCAAGGATGGGGGGATGTGGAAGAGGAGATGGGGGCGCTGCAGGAATAGCTTGGGGACAGGTCATGGGAAATGCCACTGGACCACTGCTTCCTGAGTGCACCTTGCCCGGTGATCTCAGACTGGCATGGCTGGTGGGCTGGTAGCTCCCCACTGATCTACTCTAGAGGCTGTGACAAGGTGAGGGGGCGTCAACCTTTTCACCCGCTAGGCCCAGGTGTACTTCCTGTCTCCTCCTCCTTAGAAAATGCCTTGACTCAATAGGCTGAAGTGGAGAATATCACTTTCTCCAAGTGGTACTCATTTCTGAGAAGGGCCTGCACCATCTTTCCAGATTTCAAACCTCTGATACAGCCTGGACAACATCCCCACCCCACTGGAAGCCCACCACTCACCAAGTCCTATCAGTTCAACCAGTGAAGTTCCTTGGACATGCACCACACGGTCCCTGCGCTGCAGCCTGAGGCCCGTGCTCCCACAGCCCACAGCACCAGCCTCCTCACTGTCCTCCGAGCCTCCACCCCTGCCAGGTCTGTTCAGCTTTCACACTGCAGTCATGTGGTTTCCTAAAAGACAAATCCGACCATATTTTGTTGAGTCACGTCCCTGGCTCCCTAGTGCCCTCAGGCGAATATCTCGGCTCCTCAGCCTGGCACTCAGGCCCTGGCTGATCTGGTACCTGCCACCCCTCCAGAAAACCCACCCTCTTTGCCTCTGCCCTCATCTTTCTGTCTCAGGCACAACAAAAGCAGTCCCGTGGTCCTATGGTCACTCAGGGACGGCCTACCTGATCATCTAACACCTATATCACCACAAGAGTTTCATGCTGTCCCTGTGCCAAGTTCTGTGTTAGGTGGTTTCATATACCTCTTTTCATTGAATCCCGAGAGACTCAGAGAGGCTAAATAACCTCTCCCAGGTCACAAAGCTAGCAAACGGCATAGCAGCTCTGGACTGTCTGGTTGTGCTCCTGACCACTACCTCCCACCCTGCAAGGCCCAGGCCCTCTCCCCAGGCAGCTCCCCAACCATCCCTTTTTGGACCCACAGCTCTGCCTATCTGCTCAGTTTTCTGCCATAGGAGTGCCCAATTGGCAGGGCCCAGGATTTATTCTTCCCAGTACTTACTTAGTGTGAGGAGGTCATGGTGGCTATTGTACCCATCTCACAGGTAGAAAAACTAAAGCCAGAAAGGGGTAGCTCAAGGTCTTACCCAAGGGCACCAGTGAGTCAAGGGCAAAGCCAAGCCTAGCATGCTTTGGACCTCAGGACCTCTAGCCCCCTGACCTGGCTCTGTCCCTACTCCAATCTGGGTCTTCTCTCTATGGTTCTAGGCTAGTGTGGCCCAAATCAGGAGGAGGAGCTGGGCAGCTCCCAGGCCGCTGCGGAATTTCCAGGGCAGTTGGACAACATTCCAGCTCCTCCAGTTGAGTGGCTCTGGAATGTGCCTCTCTGCCTGGTGGCAGACCCCATCTAGCCTGGTAGGGGAGAATGTCCTGTCACCACTGTGTGGAGACCCCTGCTGCCTGTCTCTGCCGGAGATGGGGTGCTGTGAGGGGAAACAGAGGACCTGGTCCCAGAAATACATCGAGGGGGCAAGAGAGGGCACTAGGCAGGTGGGAAATCCCAGTTCTGCTCTTCCCAGTGGTAAGACCTGGACAAATCTCTTAACTCCAAAACCCAGATCTCAATTTGCTCTTGATAACAGGACAGTACCTGCCTCAGAGGGTTGTTGAGCTAGTAAGATGATTTAGACTCATTTTATGAAATAGTAAGAGAGAATATTTCAGCAGGTAAAGAAGGTAGGGAGGGTGGGGGTATCTCAGGAAGACATGAAAGGCAGGAGGCCTCACAGGAATTACGGGCAGGGGCTATAGGAAGGCCACAACCAGAATAGTCACAGATCAGGTTTCCCACACTGAAGGGGGAAGCCAGACCAGGGATTCCCCAGCAGAAGCCAGATACCTACCACACTTTCTCACTCACTCACCCTTCACAAAGGTTGTCACATCTATGCCCATAGTTGAGCAGGGCACCTGGGGACTATGAGTTGGGTTAGATCTCAAAGTCAGGGGAGGCACACTTGGAAACAGGCAGGTAACACAGGTGATCAGGCCTGGAGGAAGCCAAGGAGGCGCCTCACAAGAATGGAGGGGTGATGAGGGAAGGCTTCCTGGAGGAGAGAGCACCTGACCTGCATTTGGGAAGATGAGTAGGACTCAGGTGGTGGAGAGGGAGGAGGAGCAGAGTGAGGATGAACAAGAGAGGACATGACACGTGTGAGGAACTGCTCATCACCCTGGTGGCTTGAGGGGAGTGAAGAGGGCAAGGCTGGAGTGCACAGGCTGAGGAGCTTAGAAGTCACCCCCGACTCCTCCCAAATGTCCTTCAAGGGCCCAAGGCCAGCAGGCCCCCTGCCTGGCCTGCCACGCTTCTGCACCGGGAGCACCGGGGAGTGGAAATGGCTGTTGGGTAACCTCAGATGCTATCAGCTGGTGCCTTTGTGGTGTGAGGCTTTCTCTTCATGAGGCCCTTGGGCTCTGTACCCCCTCCCAGGTGCTCTCTCGGGGACCCCCCAAGATCCTGGCTGTGGATGCCACTCACCAAGGCCGAGCTCAGAGCAGCATCTGAGTAGGTGAGTCTCAGATCAGCCAGGCTTACAGATCAGAAAGATCTAAAGCGGAAGGGCCTTACTCAAGGTCTGGTGTTCTAATTACTATCAGTGTGGGTTTGACAACCTCACCCCCAACCCAGAGCAGAACCCCAAACCACCCATCTCACCTACAACCAAGCACAGCCCAGAACAGGGCTACAGAGCCATGCTACTAAATTAAGCAGGCTTAAACCACAGTGTCCTGGACCACCACCCCAACCTGTCACAGCCAAATGCCTCCAGATTCAAGAGGCAAGAACCCTGGGTTCAGGCTCTAACTTGGAACCACCCATGCTGTGCAGTCTTGGTGAAGTCAGCCCCCCTCTTGGAGCCTCAGTTTCTTCACTGCTCAGATGGGGAGAATCGCCGCTGCACAGGACAGCTCATGGGGAATCAGACAAGGGGGCAGGTGGGTGCACCATGGCACTAATAAATCATAAACTGTCCTGAGGTGGAGGCTGCATCTGCCTGTCACAACAGGAAGGAAGACACTGAAATTCAGGAGCCCACAACACTGCTCGCCAAGGAGGCCCTCCTAGGTGTCCCCAGCAGAGGGACAGAGGTCATGGTCAGACCAGTCAGGCATTGTCCCTGGGAGGGAGCTATAATGAGATTTGAGGAGGAGCAGGAAGGGTCCAGCTTGGGAGGAAAGAAGGTGGATGGAGAACCCAAGATGGAAAGGGGGATGAAAGCATTGATCAGGAACCGTGCAAGTCTGTGATTCTGAGATGGCCTCACTCCAGGTGCCTCCAGGATTCTGAGTTCACTGATTCTCACAGTCTAATTCCGAGGGGCTCTGGCTCCGCGTGTGAAGGCTCAGTGTTTCTTCAATTCTATCACTCGTTGCTCCTGATAACCTTTGGTTTTGAGATTCTAAGAGCCACAAGAGTAATGCAATCTTAAATCACATTCCCAGCAACCACAAAGTCCCAGCAAACACTTGCCAGTGCTCTGGTGCACCCAGCCACACCCGGCCTCACATCACACTCTGCTGGGCCCTTGAGGAGTACCCAGTCTGATTGGGGAAAGAGATATAAACAGGGACCAAATCCACTTGGGTGAATAAACCACAACCAAGGCAAGCCCAGGGGCCATGGAGCGAACAGCAACTCCTACCTGGCCTGGGGAGGTGGTCAGGGAGTGCTTCTGCAGAGGACGGGTCATAAGAGCTGGAACCCGATAGATAATTAGGAGTTTGTTAGATAGACAAAGAGGGAGGCAGGCTGTGAAGGCAGAAGAGGCATGAGCAAAGACTTGGTGGATGAAAGTGTGACCTGCTGGGAAAAGGCCAGCAGGTCTTCCGTGGTTGCTGTGGAGGGTGAGGTGGCATGGATTGTGGTGGGGGGAATGAAGAATTCACATGAAAAGGCTCAAATGCCAGGCCGAAGAGCTTGGCCACTATTCTGAGGACAATGAGGAGCCATGGAAGGCTTAAGAGGGGAAGGATGTGGTCAGAGTTGACCTTTACAAAGATGGCGCCATATGGAAGGTAGATGGGACAGGGAGTCTGGAGGGAGAGAGACCAAGGAGGAGACGACACATACGGTGGTGCTGTGAGAGGAGCAGGTCCCTTGGCCCTGGATTTCCTGCAAGTGTCCAGCCACAGCAAGAGTCCCTCTCCTACAAGCCAGGGCTGGGTGGCTGGGCACTCACCAGGAGGCCACGCCCACACTCAGAGGCTCTCCTCAGACCTGGGGAGGGAGAGGCCACGTGGGTCCCAGAAGCCTGAGGGAAGCCCTCTTCCCTTGCTCCAGCACCCAGGCCTCTCACCCAGGAGCTATGCTGACAGTGACAAGGTACCAGAGTAGAGGGCCAAGGAGTTGTTCCGCAGGGCCCAGGCTGCTCGCCCTCCTAGCAGACACTCCCGCTACTCATCTTGGACCAGGAAAGACTCAGGCCTAGGAGATGGGGTAACAAGGGTGAAAGAACTCCACCGCTCCAGAACCAAGTGTGGCTCTCCATGGAGCAAAGCCTCCCCTTCTGCTGCGTGGCTACTCCCACCTGGCCACTCATTTCCCAGATACCCACTGGCACCTGCTCTGAGCCCAACCTGTGCTGGGTGATGGGTACAAAGAGAGAAAGCAGGGACCGCCTAGCCTAGTCCTGCGACTGGCCTCTGGATGAGTACAGAGGTCAGAGTGGCCCACACAGCCAGCCTCCTCCCATCAGGGCCCAGTATAAGGAGAGGCCAGGCCTGACCACCTAAGAGCACCCAAGAGAAAGGTGTGGCTCAGAGGGTACACCAGGCAGGCCTATGGAAAGCGCTTTGGGGAGAGGCAGTTTGGGCAGAAGACATGAGGGGCAACCCCCACTTCCCTCATCAGATCAACAAGGCTTCTCTGGCCCTGTGGGCAGGTCTCAGCTGGCATTATCTTATCAGCAGTTGGGTAATCTGGCCACAAGAAAACCCCAAATGCATGATCCCAGGGCAGAATTCAAACTCCCCTCGACCTGGGAGCCAGAAGACCAGGACCCCGACAGGGCTTCTGTCTCAGATGGGGAGGGCTAAGCCGCCAGGTGGACAGGAGCCCCAGATTTCCCCTCAGCCTGGTGACAAGACACAATCCAGGCCTCTATTTCCTGATCTGCGAAATGGAAACACAATTGGGCTCACAGGGCTGTGGGAGGACAAAAGATTGTCGTAAATTGTTACTGGTTAAGCCGTCTCTGCAGAGGTGGTGGGGCAGGAAGGCATTCAATAATTAAATTTCAATAATGAGCACAATCCTTTGCTATTGCACCTGTGTTCTCTTATAATCTTCAAAGTGGATTTAAGTCTATGAGTATCACACTCCTCCTCCATGCACTGCACTTTAAGGCTTATAAAGCTCTTCTATCAGTAGCTTAAGAATCCTCATAGCAACTTTGCACTTGAAGCAAGGATCACCATTCTCAATTTACAGATGACAGAACTGACACCTAGAGAGGGACAATGGCCTCTCTAAAGACTTTAGCCACTAAGTCAAAGCTTTCATGGGGTCACTCATGAGGCCCTAGTGATATCCTCATACCTTCTTAGCTGGTCCTTGGGGGGATCCACAGCCTTAGAGCCCCATGTAACCTGGGCAGGAGAGAGATAGGAACAGAAAAGCCACAGCCTTGCTCCACAGTGTAGCCACTTCTGAGGGTTGCCCACAGTGATCCCCAACCCCTCTGACCAGACTCCAAGACAGCCCAAGGTAGGAAGAAGAGGAGAAAAGATGACAAGCCTTTTGTGCCAGGGCCTCCCCACACACATACTCTCCCATGCAGGATCTTACATGTTCTGGCCTTTTTTAAGAGCCTGGCAGGGCAGGAACTGGTCATCCAACAAGCTGGGAGCAGAGCTGGGACGAGATCAATTGCAGGTCCCCAAATCCCCCAGCAGGAGCATCTGAAGGCTCAGGGAAAAGTGTCTGGCCAAGGGGCAAGGGCTCAATTAGAGTTTAAACAACCCCTGGGATGGTTTTAGTGTCAACGTCACACACGCCCTGACCTCCTGCCCTTGGCCCTTCTTGATCCATTCTCCATCCTGCAGCCAGAGAGCTCTTTCTGAAATGCAACTCTGACTGTGAATCTCCTCTGCTCATAAATTTTCATGGCTCCCTATTGCCTTCAGGATAAAATCTAGGTCTTTAGCCTGGGCACTCTGGGTCCTATGGTGTCCCAGATCACACTGTTCTGGCAACCTGTGCCACCCACTTTGATAACCAGATTCTGGTTTGCCCTTCTTTGTAGTGGCATGGAGCACCTCTGCGGCCAAGCCTTTACTGGAGAAGCTGGGGTTAGAAACCTGCTGTTCCCTCAGTTCAGCTCAGCCCTGTGCAGGGTGCTGGCAACACAGAAATGAGTCAAATCCAGTTTCTGCCCTCCAGGAGCCCCTAGACCTGCAAAGAGGAAAGGAGGAGGCACACATAGAGCATGACAGTCCAGGTGGGACCAGGGCTGTCAGCACCAGGACTCTAGGGGCCTAGAAGAGGCTCCAATGCAGCTGGGGGGGATCAAGGGAGGCTTGCCAGAGGAGGGGACATCTGAGCTGGGTCCCAAGTCTGGGTAGTTCTCCAGTTGAGGAAGGAGTAGGAGGGCTTATCAGGCAGGGAGTATAGAATATGCAGTAGGCTAGGGGCAAGAAATGAGAGACTACAGGCAGCTACTGCAAGGTGAAGACTCAGGTGGGAGAGGTGGCTGGAAAGATTGGTAGGCCCCAGTTATCAGAGGCCTTAAATCCCAAGCTACAGGGTTCAGGCTTGGTCCTGTAGAAGTCTTGTGCCCTAGGGAGGGACACAGTTGGGATTCTGGTTTTGGGAGGCTCCCTCCAGGGACTAGCTTCCCATCCCCAAGCTGTGAGCCTGCCCAGGGGGGACAGTGGTGCTGAGCAAGACCAACTCAGCTCCTCAACAGCCCTCAAATTCCATATCATTAGTCCCTTCTTACAGAGGAGGCCACTGAGGTTCAGAGAAAGGATGTGTTGTCCAGGCCACATAGTGGCCAAGACAGGATTGGAACATAGATCTCTGAGTCTCCAGAGCTCTCCTGCGGACCTGCCTGCTCAGAGAATCTTCTTCCTCCCACTTCACCCCACAGGTAATAAACTTGCCTGGGGCTCCACCCAGATCCTCAAAAGCTCATCATTACTTCAGCTTAGATCCAAAACAAACCAGGTAGATCAGGCTGTGGGCCCAGGAACCTGGGGATGCCATGCTGAGAGGAACAGCGCAGTGGACCCCACAGGTCCCGAGCAGGCAGACCGGGTTCCCAGCAGTCCCTGGCCCTTGGGCTGCACTCCTGGAGGACCCCAAGAGGGCCACCGGCAGCCCTCGCGTTGGGAGGTGGGCGTTGGGAGGTGGGGCATCGCCTGTCTCCTGACTGACCCTTCCTACCGCACCATTTGCCAGATTAAAAGTCCCGGGACAGAGGCTTAACTGTCCTGCCTCGTCACTCCCTCCTCCCCTGCCCACTCCCTGCAACTGCCCCTCAACCTTACCATGGCAGGCGGCCACCCAGAGTGACCCTGGGGGCAGGACAGGGACAGGGGGTCTCCAGGGGTTCGTGTCTCTGGGCACCGCCCACCACCCCACGCCACGGGGGCGCTCACATCTGAGCACACACAGACAAGTTCCGCAGGCTAGGCCGGTCGCCCCAGGGGCTCACACACCCGCTAGCACGCAGACTTCCCCAATACGCGGGCGCGCACATTCTCCTCACTACCAGGCGCCGGTCCGAAATTATCGAGACCGACGCTCCCGTGGAGACAAAGTTCAACTACCGACCCACAGGCATGCTCAAGCCGTCCAGCTATGCGCTGCACTCCGGCTCGCGACGGTGGCCGGGGCGACAGCGGCTCCACAGCGCTCTCCTCTGCCCCGCGCCCAGTCAGCACCTGCGCCAGTCTGGCCCACTTGTCCCGGGGCCTCTCCCGCCGACCTCTCCCTGCGCCCTGTTCCCTCCAGACGCCCCACCTCTCCTCACTGCGCTGCGCTCCTCTGCCCGGGGTGCAGTCGCCGCCGCTCCCGGGTGCCAGTGCCCGCGTCCAGCCGCCGCCGCAGAGACCCACGTGCCTGGGAGCCCCGCCGCCCCCTCCCGGCCCAGTTCCCCAGCCGGGCCAGGCAGGGGGCGGGGCGGACTTTTGACCGACCCTGGCACCGCCCCCAACCCGCCCGGGTAGACACCTCGCCACTCGCTCGGGGACGCCACCCAGCGACACGGCCGCATTAGTCGGCGCGTCCGTACCGGTGCTGCACCGCGAGGGGCGGGCGGCGACGGTCCCACTGCCAGGCCAGAAGGAGGCCGCCCGGCTCCCTCACACCAGAAGGGAGAGAGTAAGGAGAGGTTTTCAGGGACGCCAAAGTTTTGCCATGTCCGCCAGGCGCTTGCGTGGCCCACTGTGGGACCTTTGCGCCCAGCCGCCGCGCCACCCCACTCCTGTCCCGCCCCTGCCCCAGCCCGGCTGTCCAGAAAAGGACCTGCTCCTAGAGATCTGCTCCGAACCCCAGGCTGAGGACACACCTCCCTTGCTTGAAAGTGGAGGCAGGTGGTGCCTCTCCCCATTATCCTGGGAAGGAAAGCAGGGCACTCAGAATCTCGCCTCTCCCGTGCTCCCTGCTTTCCCTTAATCTTACCAGCAGCTCCCTGAACTCCCAACTCTCTTTGGCCCCTCGTCTTGAGCTGCTTTAACTCTCTTCTCTGCCCTCAATCCCACTCCGATGGCCTTCCTGGTCTTGGGCTGCATGTCTGACCTTTTCCAAGACTGTGAGCTCCCGAGGCTGTGAGCTCCCGAGGGCAGCGACCAGGTCTGCCTTCTTCCTATTGCTGTCTCAGAGGTCCTGGGAGGTGCTCAATCCTTGAAGTTGTGGATGGATGAATGAATGAAGGCCACCCTCTATCATTTCTGGTCTAGGAATCAGGAGGATAGGTTCCCACCCAGCTTCAGCTTTGACTCTGGGAGACCTTGACCCAGTTCCAGTCCCTCTCAGGGTCTCCTTTCCTGTGAAATGGAGCCAATCATTAGGGTTGCTGGACAAGTGCAGAGGAGGCCTCTTCCTGTAGCCAAGGAGCTTGCCCAGGGCCCTGGGGCCTTGGGCCCTTTTGGGCTCCACATCAGCTGACTGGGCCTGGTTGCCAGCCCAGGAGGGGCCCAGGAAGGGCGCAGGCTGCAGCCCAGCCAGGAGCAGGAGCAGAGTGGACACACAGCCTAGTGTGGCTGAGCCACCTCTGCAGTCCCACTGGGACCTTTGATTGGGACACACAAAGGCGCCTTGTCCAGCCTCCTCTGCCTATTGTCTAAGCTGGGGACAATAAGGGACCTGAGTATTCTCATAGCCCAAGTTACAAGGCCCAGGTCTTCAGGTTCCAGTATGGGGAAGCCCCTTTAGGCACTGAAACTCCAGCCAACCCCCTGTTTCTCTTCTTCCTTCCAAAGCTTCAAACCTTATACTGTCACTGCCATTTAACCCAGGAGAAACCAGTTTCTTTAATGTCAAGATGAGGACCCAGGCTCTACCTCAGCCTTCAGCAGGCAAACCTGGCTGGTGGCCTACCCAGGGCTCTGCCCCTCCTCTAGCCCAACTCCCTTACTTTACAGCTGAGGAAACTGCATCCCTGAGACATAGGAGGCTTCAGCTACCACACAGGTAACTTACTGAGGCCTGAGGAGCAGAGGAAAGAGCCTAGTCCTTGAAACCCATAGCCTTGGGTTTAGATTCCAATCTTGCCTCACCTGTCCCATGACTCCTCTATGAGCCTGAGTTTCCTCTTTTGCAAAATGGAGTAATACTAATCTCTCACTTGCTGGCCTGTCTTAAGTTTTTTGAGAAAGGGTTTCACTCTGTCACCCAGGCCAGAGTGCAGTGGCATGATCACAGCACACTACACTCTGTACCTCCCAGACCCAAGTGATCCTCCCACCTCAGCCTCCCAAGTAGCTGGGACTACAGGTACATGCCACCATGCCTGGCTAATTTTTAAATTTTTTGTGGAGATGGGGTCTCCCTGTGTTGACCAGGCTGGTCTTGAACTCCTGGGCCCAAGCAGTCCTCCTGCCTTGGCCTCCCAAAGTGCTGGGATTTTAGGCATGAGCCACTGCTCCCTACCCTTACATTCTTTTTTCATAGTTTTATTCATCATCCCAAGTTGTCTGGGTTCAAGGGGTTAGTATCCCATGTAATGAGGGGCTAGACATCTCCATCTCCTGACATCCTCCCCAGACACTTCTGTCACTGGGTTTTAGAAGTCATCAAGTCCAGCAGGCTTCAAATCCCCCAACAGAGTCCGCCTTACCTGGGGCTGCCTGGGGAACCCCCATCCCACTTCAACTTGAGCACCTTTGCTTTTGTATTTTTATTTATTTCTATTCCGGTAAGAATTTGTTGCAAACTCATAGAAGATTTTCTGGCTGAAAGAATATAAAACCTTTGATCAAACTGGAAATGGAGACACAGCAAGCCTCACACAACAGGCCCATCTGAAAGGCTGGAATAGTATCGAGGGAGTCTCCCTGGAACCAAGCAGCCAAGGCAGGCTAACGGTGAGGGCCCAGGCACGGTAATGGTCCCCTGGAGGTGGGTAATGGAGCCATGGGGGTGTGGGGAGGGTTCCATTAACAGTAGCAGGTCAGGAGGGGAAGGGCAAAGTTCCAGCCTCAGCTTCTACCATGTATTAAGAGGCTTCCTGTCTCTCCAGCCCTGAGGAGGTATTTGGCTCACTCAAGCCTTTTCATCTTCCTTGTCTCCACTTCTCTCATCCCCCCTGAGA